TCTCTCTCTCTCTCTCTCTCTCTCTCTCACACACACACACACACACACACACAAACACGCACACTCCTCCTCTGGATTCACTGGGCCGTTTATAAATTCCCCCTCCTGTGCCCTCCCTCCCTCTCTCTCTCTCTCTCTCTCTCTCTCTCACACACACACACACACACACACACTCCTCATTATTTATAAATTTCCCCCCCTGTGAAAACACTCCTTCAGCCTCTTTCTCCCCTCTTTCTGGATTCGCTCCGAAATTTTTAAAATTACCTCTTCTGTATAGAGACCAGGTTATCAGCCACGTGAGACATACGCTGTGTTTCTATGGCACAGCAATCCCCTCCCCAAACAACACACAATGCCAATTTAGAAGCCCCAAGCAGCGAAGCAGCAGTCCGGGGGGAGGGGCTGAGCTTGGACAGCCTCAGAGGTAGCCACTAGCTCAGAGAGAAAGAGAGAGAGAGAGAGAGGGGGGGGGCTGCTCAAAGCAACAGAAGAAGAAAAAATCAGTGAGGGAAGCCCGCGGTCTCCACATGGAGTAAAGTGTTCTCCTCCCTCAGCTATTGGCAACAGCTCCCAAGGACACGCAGGCAGGAATGCGCTCGGCTTGAAGAACATATGCTCCCAGTTGCTAGGAGAACCTCAAGGCGGCTGGAGGCTTTCGTAAAATCGGGACGTTTTTTTTTTAAAAAAACCACGATGTGGGACAAATTGTTCAAAAGAGGGACTGTCCCGCTAAAATCGGAACGTCTGGTCACCTTAGCCAAGAGGGGTGGGGGAGAGGTATGAAAGTGTCTGCAAGGGACACCCTACAAATTCACATGATGATAAAAGGAAGGGCAGGAGAAGTATATTCAGACTTCCCAGATTCTGATATCATAACCTATCTTAATAAAAGTAGGTTAGGGCTGTATAATCCAGTGGTGGGATTCAATTTTTTTTACTACCAGTTATGTGGATGTGGCTTGGTGGGCGTGGCATGGCTTGGTGGGTGTGACGGGGGAAGGATACTGTAAAATCTCCATTCCCCCCTACTCCATGGGAAGGATAGTATAAAATCTCCATTCCCACCTCACTCCAAGGGGAGGATACTGTAAAATCTCCATTCCCACCCCACTCTAGGGGAAGGTTATTGCAAAATCCCCATTTCCTCCTGATCAACTGGGACTCGGGAGGCAGAAAATAGATGGAGGCGGGGATAGTCAGAGGTGGTATTTACCGGTTCTCTGAATTACTCAAAATTTCCACTACCAGTTCTCCAAAACTGGTCAGAACCTGTTGAATTCCACCTCTCATATAATCTCTATATTCAGCAGTGTTGACACTGATTTCTCATTCCTGGTGTAGCATTTTTATTATTCCAGAACTTTTAAAGACTTGATTATTGGAGCAATAATTTAAAATCATTTGATTCTTTCCCTCTTCCTCAGGGCTGTGTGTGTGTGTGTGTGTGTGTGTGTGTGTGTGTGTGTGTGTGTGTGTGCATTTATACACATGCATATATACATACACCCACACTTGCTAAAGCTAAACTGATCAGATTTCAGTTAGATTTGTGACAAACAGATTGATTAAAACAACGACAACAACACTTTACCCACTATTTATTGATAGTTTTGCTGGCAGAAATAGGTGAGCACAGTTCAAAAATAAGGATAACCTGCCAATGCACAGAACAATGTGCTCAGGAAAAAAAATAACACTGAATTAAAATAATAGATTCAAACAAGAAGCATCTTTGCCAGATATTTTGTGTTTATTTCTTTAGTAATGCTTGCAGCTTTACCATAGTTTCTCACAAATCATTTTGGCACAGTGCTGGCTAAGCCAAGTATTACATTTTTTATAGCAATAAAAAGGATAAAAGTGTATAACTATTCCTGTATTCTGTGCGTGTGGATAAAAATACTTTAAAAACTACCAATTTAGACAATTCCTCGCTAATGTCTAAAATAAATCCATGAAACTATTCTAATGCAGAATTCACCTATTGTGGCAGTCAGCATCAGTAAATAATTTTATTAGTCTCTGTCATTATGGGGTGGAAAAATAAGTACATTAAGTTTAAGAATACTGCATGAAAAAAACATTGTTTAGGAAGAAGAATATGCAACAAAGTATGTTTGGCATACTTTGCCAAAGTATATAAAGGTATATAAATAAACCTTTATTTGTAGATAAAAATCACACATCAAGAAAACTAGTTCACTTTTGAACAAAATTATATACAATTCTCTATATTGTGGAATGGTACTTCCAGAGTATAGATGGAAATAATGGCGATTTTATCATTGACAAAGAACAAATTTCAACAGATCCATTTGTCCTTCAGGGAGTTTATTTATGGAAAATAGCAGAATAATTGTGTTTCTGTTTGTACAATGGTAGAAAAATTACGTTATAGTTTTCTGTACCACATGTAACCCAATTTTCCATCCTTTTTTCTATTGATATTGTAGTCATACTTTTCAGTAGTTTGAATGTACAGATTTTTAATTTGTCACTAAACATCATCTTATGTTTAGTGATAAATCACTTAAATGTGAGCCAGTAGTGTGCAGCAGCAAATAAAGCTAATATAATCCTTGGTTGTATAAACAGAGCATAGAATCAAAATCACGTAAAGTATTAGTACCACTCTATAAAGCCTTAGTAAGTAACTGGAATACTGCATCCAGTTTTGGTCAGCACCAGAGGTGGGTTCCTACCAGTTCGCACCTATTCGGTAGAACCGATTTGTCAAATCTACCGAACAGGTTAGAAGAGGTTCCACCAGTGGACCCGGAAAGGGGACCACACATAAAGAGGTTCCAAATTTTTTTGAAACCCACCACTGGTCAGCACATTCCAAAAAGTGCAAAGAAGAGCAACTAAGATAAATAAANCAAAGGGTAAGGGTTTTGTTTTGCAGTCATGGCTACTTCGAGTTCGGGCCGAGAACCGCGACGATCAGTTAATACTTTGGGACAAGAGGAGCTGCGGAGATTAATGCGAGCCAAACAGCGCGAGTCTGCTGCGGGGAAAAGGAAAATTGACTCGCCCTACGTTAGATATCCTATCTTATCTTCGAGCGAGATCCCCACCCCACCCCCACACATACTTTTGCACCTTTCTGCGACGGAGTTTTTTTGAGTTTTGTCTGTCTGGGTTACTCACTGGAAGTGATCGTGAACCAAATCTCGTTCCGCTCTTCTTTTTCTGTAGGGTAGGCATTTTAGTTTATTATCGCTATCCTGTATGTTGTGTTTTTTGAAGTATAGTAATCAATAGCGTGTTATTCACGTCTGAAACAAAAACGCAAGACTGTACATCAGAATTTGCAATCTGATCAAAATGTCTTCTTAAAGGAATGGGTTAACTGGATGGAAAAACTTTTTCATTTCTTTTAAGTTCCTCCCTCTTAGTTCTTAGATATATGTATGTTTTCCTTTCTGCTACAACAAATCTGGCAGGATGTTTAGTATGCTATACTGATAAGAGTAAAAGGATTTGATAAAATACCTAAATGTAGCCTAGTAGCCAGTTTACATTCAAGTGAAGAGCAGATTCCTCCAGCAATCGGTTTCCTCCATTCTGTTACAGGTAATCCTTGACTTAATGACTACAGTTGAGCTCAAAATTTGTTTTGCTAAGGGAGACATTTAAGTGACTTTTGCCCCATTTAACGACTTTTCTTGCCACAGTTGTTAAATGAATCACTGCAATTGTTAAGTTAGCAGCATAGTTAAGTGAATCTGGCTTCTGCATTGACTTTGCTTATCAGAAGGTCACAAAAAGTGATCCCAGGAGCAGAGGACACTGCAATAAATATGAGTAAGTTGACAGGCATCTGTATTTTGATCATGTCACCATGGGGAAGCTGCAAAACTCATCATTGTGAAAATCAGTCATAAGTCACTTTTTCGGTGCTGTTGTAACTTTGAATGATCACTGTTGTAAGTCGAGGACTATCTGTAATGTTCAAATGGCAAATCCAGTTTATATTGATTCGCTGGTAAAACAGTATTAGTATATTTTGTTTCAGTAAAACATAATAAAAGAGATAACAATCAGGTCATGAGGGAATTTAAAGCCTGCATTTAACAGTGCTTACAAACCCAAACTGATTTTTAAAAAGAAAATATAATTTGTGACCAGATTGCTTTAGTTAGTGCATTTGGTTCTTCTAGTGTTTCAGTTAAAAAATAGCAATTACGGTATTGTACTTCAAGCTTTAGTCACAGAAAAAAGTGTAGCTGCATTGCAGTGATAATTTCTCAGAATAATGTTTTTAAAAGTGCTGTAATTTTGAGAGATCATTTTTGAATTTATTTTCTTAATTGCAATACTACATATAACAGTTTGGGGAATTTAAGTTGCTGCCTGTGCAATGTGATTGTGAAGAATGAACTGCTGTGGCAAACACATGTTCTTGGAAAGCAGCACAAGGAGGTAAGAGAAGTTTAATGTGTATCATACTGTTAAGAATACATTAATTTTTCACTTTTAATATAACTGATTTAATTCCTCTAGCTATTCTGTTATTTAATCAATATATTGTTAAAATAGTGGAAACATATAGTGCATCCACAGGGACCAAGCTTTCTTGGCTAACTCGATAGTCCATTTCATCCAGCACATGCAGGAAAACCTGTATGACAGCAATAAAATAATGGTAAATCATAGCCCGTTAATGAAAAATTATCATAGAAAATAAATGGGATGAGGAGATACACTTCTGATATTATATATAGTTTTTTGATTCGATAGGTTTTTGTAATATTTGTATTTTTTTAATTTGGGCAAGGCAGAACCATAGAGTGAAATGGAGTGGAGTAGAGTACAGGTAATCCTCGAGTTACGAATGTAATGGAGCTTGTCAATTACATTTGTAACCCAAGGATTCATAGGAGTGAATCGCATAACTTGGCCGTGATCACTCCATCCTTTTGCGCATGCATTCACTAATCAAATGCGCAGGTGGTTAAGTGCACATGAGGTATCTCAGAGTGCGGGAGGGCCATGGTTTGCTTAATGGTGGAACAGGCCACCTGCTTCAGAGTATCCAAGGCCTCCCCCCACTCACAGTTACCTCATGCAATTGCTTTCCCCCACCATCCTGCTATGTTGTATCTCCACAAACAGGCCTGTGAAGACTCCTTTCCCTTTCAAAGATCTAGTGAACCTCTCTTGTTTCTTTGCCTGTGAGCGGTGAGAACAGGGAGAGCAGGATGAGCATGCCCTGCTCAGTTTCTCTGACTCACCAAGACTGCCTGCCATTTCTGCAATGGTGGGCAGGCTCCATGAGTCTCCCCCAAAGGCTTCCAGGCTTGATTGGAAAAGCATTTGCATACTGAAGTGAAGCTTTGGGGCAATGAAATTGCATTGATTCAAGCCTCCTGTTGGTCTGCAAACACTTTGCATACAGACTGGAAGCTTCTCCCAGGACTTCAGGCACCCATTATCTGCAAAAGTGGATGGGTACCTGAAGTTGTTTGAGACCATGGCTCCTAGAATTTCCAGTCTCCGGACAAAAAGTGTTTGAGTGCCTATGGGGCACTTGAAAATTGAGTGATGTCGCTCCACTTCCAAGCGCATAACTGGCGCACAAACATTCCAGGACCAGAAAGCAACAGAGAAAGCTAGCACCCGGACAGTTCGTTTATGTGATTGTCTACTTTCTCAGTGTGATTGTCCAGGTGCTTGATATGATTGTCCAGATGCTCGATGTGATTTTCTATATATAGATTCATTGCTGTCTCAAATGAGAACAATGACTGTTGTATCATCTGAAAACTTAACTACTTTGTCAGAAGAATCCTTAGAGATGCAGTCATTGGTATAGAGAGAGAAGAGCAATTGAAGGAACAAACAGACCTGAGTGGCACCTCAGCAGCACCAATTGTCTGGGTGCTCAATGTGATTTTCCTTAGCTTCCTCTGTTGCTTCCTATTTGTCAAAAATCTAGTAATCCATCTACAAATATGGAGAGGCACAACTAGCTGAATCAGTTTAGAGTAAAGAATTTCTGGAATGATGGTATTGAATGCTGAACTGAAGTCTACACAAAGGACCTGTGAATAGGTCCCTGGGGATTCAAGATGTTATTAAAACACAGATTGCAGTGCCATATTGATAGCATCATCTGACAGTCTATTTGCTTGATAGGCAAACTGCAAGGGGGTCTAACAGCAGATGTGTGATGATTTTCAGTTGAGCCAGTACTAACCTCTCAAAGGTCTTCAAAACTGAAGATGTCAAGGCAATCAGTCTGAAGTTATTCAGCTCCCTAATAGAGAGTTTCTTGGAAGATCATAAGATCATGGGTTTATTTTTATAGTAAATGAATCAATACATTTTTCTAATGATGTTAGAACACAAATAGATACAATAGATAGCAATAGAACAGAACAGGAAATCCTCAATTTGCAATCATTTATTTAGTGACTCTTCAAAGTTACAGCAGCATTGAAAAAAATGACTTATGACAGTTTTTCACATTTAATACTATTGCAGCATCCTCATGGTCATATGATCAAAATTCAGATGCTTGGTAACTGATTCATACTTATGATGACTGCACTGTCCAGATCTGAAGTTATCAATTTTTGTGATCTTCTGACAAGCAAAGTCAATGGGGAACAGGGCCGTCTTAACAGCATTATGGGCCCCAGGCAAAGTAGTGTACTGGGGCCCTTATGATAACTACTCACAGGAATAAAAATCTAAATAGTCGATAAAATTAAACACATATTTGCATGTTAGTATTAATTAAAAAATGCAGTAAAATGTAATAAATAGGTTGCTGTATTTATATATTACAAGGTGCATTGAAGGGTTAACATGCAAAGATGCTCGTAGAACCCATGGGCAAGTGCCCATCAGGCCCATGTGTTAAAGCCAGATTCACTTAATAACCATATTACTAATTTAACGATTGGAATGATTCACTTAACCAGTGTGTCTAGAAAGCTCATAAAATGAAGTAAAACTCACTTAACAACTGTCTCATTTAGTAATAGAAATTTTGGGCTCAATTGTGATTGTAAGTCGAGGACTACCTGAATTTTAAAATACGATTTAATGCTATATTGAATACAAATTTGTTCTTGTAAACAAAGAAATGGAAAAGAGATAATCCATTTTCCTAATTGTTTTATATAAATACAGTCATACAAAAAAGTAAGTACACCCGCTCTGTGTGTTATGTTTTTACATAATGAGACATAGTAAAAAATCATTTGGTTCTTAGCAGTTCTTAAAAGAATCAATCACAATCAATCAGAATAGAAATAAAAGAGACCTTCGAGGTTTTCTAGTCTAGCCTCTTGCTCAAGGGGGCGACCTATACCATTTCAGACAAGTGGCTGTCCAGTCTTTTCTTAAAAATCTCAAGTGATGAAGCACCTGCAACTTCTGAAGGCAGCTTTTCCACTAGTTAATTATCATCATTGTTAGGAAGTTTCTCTTTAACTCCAAGTTGCTTCTCTCCTTGATTAGTTTCCATTGTTTCTTATCTTGACTTCTGGTACTTCGGAAAATAAGTTGACTCCCTTTATTTACATAACCCTGACTCCATCCTCTTTATGGCAACCTCTCAAGTAATGGAATACTGCTATCATGTCCCCCCCCCCCCCCAAGTCCTTCTTTTTCTCTAGACCCAAATCCTGCAATTGTTCTTCATATGTTTTAATCTGCAGGGCTTCAATCACCTTAGTTGCTCTTTGCACTTTTTCCAAAGTCTCGAAATCTTTTTTGTAATATGAACAAAACTGGATTCAGTATTCCAGATAAGTGGAATTAATATTTCAAGTCATTTTGATTCTATGTCTCTTTCTACAACCAAGAATAGTATTTCCTGTCTTAAGTACAAAGTCTTGCGTTGTTGGATAGGGCTCATTGTTCAAGTCTGTCAAGATCTTTTTGGTTCCTCAGCTTATCTTCTGGGATGTTGGCTATTATTGCCAGCTTAGTGTCATCAGCAAATTTGATGAGTTCCCCCTCTATTCTCTCATCTAAGTTATTTATGAAGATATTGAAGAATACTGGCCAAAGACCCTAACCTTGTGGTACCCAACTACTTACTTTCGTCCATGTAGATGTACTTTCATTAAAGACAACTCATTGAGTGTGTTTTGGCAGCCAGTTACAAATCTATCTGGTGGTCATGCTGTCTATCCCACATTTTTCTATCTTACCAAGAAATAGGTTGTCATTCTGGTTTCGGCACTCGGTACTGAAAAAGTTTGCCATCACTGCCCTACCCCCCTACATGATTTGTTATTTAGTGATTTTTGCTTGGAATTAGGTTCTAAGGATGGTGAAGACTTTCCCCCTCTATTTTAGTTTAAAACTCTTCTGATATGATGAGTCAGTCATTTTCTGAATACATTCTTTGGAATTCTTATGAATTTACTCCATCCCTTGCCAGCAGTGGATAAAAATTGATGATTTTTTTTTAAAAAATCAGATTTTTAAATTGGATTTTTTTTATTTTTATCAAATTAATTTTAATAAAATGCTTTTGGAATAGAAGTCTATCAAAGACTTTCTATTTAAGATACATTAATAATTTAGTTTATGCCACATGAAATGAAGCTTAGTTATGTAACATGAGGCTGCATATTCTGCAATATTTACATTTTTAATAAACTCATTTAATGAATCCAAGCTCTGTAAGCTGAAATAACATGCACTGCATTGATGCATTCACACAATTTCAGAATAACCATGAGATAAATCATAAAACAAAATTCCAGAATATTCCTTCATCCCATTGTTTTGCAAACCTATGTACACTACAAACTGTACAATTATTTGAAGAGAAATGCATCTGTACCACCAGGCTCTAAGTGAGGAGGAAGGGCAAGCAGTAAAAATGAAAGTGAAATCTTTTATGCAGCTTATAAATATAATATTAAAGAGCATCTGCTATTTTAGATCCATTATGGCAGTGCCTGTTAGCGGACATCTACTCATCTGCTGCCTGCACATGTCCCTCACCTTGTTGTGCCACTGCTATATCATCAGCCATTCCATTAAAGTGAATGGGACTGTCGGTGAGTCAATAGCAGGTCAGTGGAGAAGCCACTACAGGACAGAGATGACAGTTACTCTTTAAAAATTATGATTTAAATCGCCTTGATTTAAATCAAATGCACCCTGCTTGCCAGTGGTGCTTCATGTAGGTAGTGCAGACCAGAAAACTCATAAAACTTAAATTTTTAAAGAAGTCAATTGACGATCAGCATTTGATTAGCAGCATCTGGCTGTTGTTTAGCCTCTTCATACCAATGGAAGCAGTAAGGGTGTACTTAGTTTTTCACATGTGGCTTCTCCATTTTAGCTTTAGAAAAAATATGGTGTAATATATCGTTTTGTTGTTCATCTGAACTTGTGTTTTCCTATTTTTAAGAACTGCTAAGGATGAGCTGATTTTTACTATGTTTTAATATGTAAATCGGGTGGGTTATGCCCGGCTTTACTGCCGGTTTGCTCATGGGTGCACTTTGTGCAGTTCAATTAAAATTGATCTGCACATGCGCAGAACTGAAAAACAAGATGGCGGTGGAGACCAGGGAACCAGTTTGGGGCATGGCAGGCCTGGGTCACTGCTGGTTCCAGCGGCCCAGGCCGCCATACCACTACTGGTTCAACCGAACCAGTAGGAACCCACCACTGATGTAAATCCATAGACGGTGCATTTTCTTTTTCACATGACTGCATAAAAGTTCTTTCAGTTGCACTTTTTCCTTCTTGATATTGGTATTTCTGATATGATTTTGAGCCCTGCAAATAATCCTCAGGTATTTTATTTGCTGCTTTAATTTTTTTTCTAGAATATTAAATATTCTACATCCAAATCATTTCCTGAAACTTCATCTCCTCTCAAAAAAAAAAAGTTGGAACCAAGAATTCTAGATCAAAAGAAAGGACAAGGTATGAAAAACTCCTTTGTGCTTGCTATATTTCTAATTTGATGTATAGCTTTTAAAATCTGACAGTTAAGGTCTGCTGCATTTAAGTTTGACTTTATTCATAAAATTTCTTGTGTACTGGATACGTCCAGTTAGTTAGATTGTAGAATGAAGCAATGCTTTATGGATGAAGTCAATATTGTCATTTCTGGAATTTCTAATTTGTATTTAGGTGGTGGACATGCCCTTCTCTCTAGATTCCTGAATCTAGTTTGAAAATAATCCAGATAATCTGCTTCATCCAGGGACCTTTGTAGCTATGAATCAACCAACTTCTCAGCAACTTTCCCTAAAAAGGGAAAGTTGGAGACCGAATAAAAATTGTCTAATATTGTGAGGTCCAAGGATGGCCTCTTGAGAAGGATATGCAAGTACCATCCTTCCAGCAAAGAAACATTAACCACATAGAACTTCTTAGGAAGCTTTAACCAATCAGGCATGGGCTCAGTACCATGCTTACAGTTTTAAGGTTCCTGTCCACTTCCTCAAGAGCAACTGGCTTGAACTCTTCCTAGGACAGTAAACAAGGCTCAGATGTGACTCTATCACCTCCAAAGAGTCTGGCCGACCAGAATCTAGCTCTATGCAAAGTTGAGCAATATTGCTACATAAATCCTAGGTATATTCCTCACAGTGACACTGCATTGGGTGCATCAAGGTGCTTGGAGTGGATTGATTGAATAGGCTCTACAGGTAATCTTCAACTTAACAACTGTATCAGAGCCTGGAATTTCCGTTGTAAGACTCATGACATGGTTAGTCAAGGCACCCATTAACCAAATCATAAAGATTTTACAACTACTTTGTGAAAGTCATTAAGTGAATCTGATGATCATTAAGCAAATTACTGTATTCCCATGGGTGGGTTTTTTTGTTTTTGTTTGGTGTAATCTGCATATTTTCTCAGGTTGCCTAACCTTGGAATGCTGGTACAAACTGGGTCTGGGGTGCTCTGGTCTTTATCACTAGTCATTCCCTCCTTCCCCAATTTCCCATTACGTACACACATAGCTTTATTGCCTTTACATTCTCCCTCCCTCCCTTTCTAGTCTTTGATGGCAGGATGCCTGTGAAGCACCAAGCAGAACCAGGCAGAGTTGAGAGCTAGGTTCTAGACTTTAGATCAGTCACTCTATCTCATCTCAACCCACTCATAGGCTTATTGTTATGAGGAAAATGGGAGTTGGGAGCATTACTAAACCATGTTTGAGTTGATAAAAAATAAGGATGGGATAAAATCTTATATAGTATATGCAAAGCTGCTATTGATATAAATCTGATTAATATCTTTATTTTCAGATTGTAATGACCAAGCACAAGCAGTTTCATCTAAGTAAGTTGTTACCTCTTTGCATTTCCCCCTTTTCACAAGTAAAGATATAAAATAGAATTTGCTTTCTATATTTTTTGTACAAAATTACTATGCAGAGGAAATGGCTCTAAATTAAGTTTTGGTGTGACAAACTAGTAGGTTTATTAACGGTTTTATTGCTGATTTCAGTTTTCTGCAGATGTTTAAAGCATAGTGCCATTATATTAAGGAGTCCTAACAGTTTGTTGCTTTGTGCCATACAATCAATAAAAAATGGCAAACCTTCAGGAAACAACTGTATTACAGTTGAAATGCTGAAAACTGGTGATCACAGTTTACGCAAGATATTAAGAAAACTATACTCGAGATGCTTCAGAGAAGAAAAATGCCTGATACATGGAAAATGCTGAAGGGAATCTTATATATAAGAAAGGGACCCAAGATGATTTAAAGAAATTGTTCAATAAGCCTCCTTTCAGTCATCTGCAAGGTTTTCTCCAATGTAATAGTAAAAAGAATATTGAGAACATTAAATGATGTTTGGTCAAAGGAGTAAGCAGGGCTCAGAAATGGTTACAGCACAATAGATCACATCCAGATTGTTCAGCAAGACATTGAAAGGCACAATGAGTACACTATGATGCTGTGCATGGCTTTCATTGACTACAAAAAGGTATTTGACTCAGTATTTCAGCAAGCAATAATTAACGCATTGCTCAACCAAGCTGTAAATATTTCTTACAACTTACTACAATCAGTAGTATAGTATAGTATAGTATAGTATAGTATAGTATAGTATAGTATAGTATAGTACAGTATAGTAGTATACGAAAAAACATGATGACAATTTGTTTTAATTATCTTTAAAGTGGAAATCAAGATAGAACAAAGTGTACGACAAGGTGACACAATATCATCTATTCTTTTCTCAGTCTACCTTGAAGTATTTCACAAACTGGACTGGGCAAAAGATGGAATAAAATCAATAAGTGTCTATTTAAATCACTTAAGATTTGCACAAGTCTCTTCTCACAAGTCCCATAAAAGTTACCAAGACACATACAGGCACAAAGTAGGAGAACCATTTCCTTAAAAATAAATCTGAAAAATAAATTCATTAAAGTAAGAATAATTGTTATATCTGGACAAGATCTAGACATAATAGACCACTATCTATACCTTGGCAAACAGATCTCAATGGAAGGTGATATAATAAAGGAAATAGAGTGGTGTGTTAAATGTGATTGGCAGGCATTTGGCAAGCTAAGCATAATTTTCAAGAACAACCTTCCATGCCTGATCAGTGTGCTATAGACTTCTTTTATATGCCAGTGAAACATTGACACCAACCTCACTATCAGTACAAAAGCTACGAGTGGCACAAAGAACCATGGGAAGATAGATGCTCAGCATCACAAGACAAGATAGAAAGACCTGTACATGGATTAGAGAACAAACGAAGGCATACAATATCAAGAGAATAAAAGAATTGCAATGGAAATGGACTAGTGACAAAGAAAGAACTGATGACAGATAGACTAGGGCAGTCATAAATATATTCCATTTGATAAAAAGCATCCACAAAAGAGCCTAAAACAAGATGGATCAACATTGGCAAGTATTGTGGGATCAACTAGCAAAAGAAAGTTCAAGACTGTATTGGTTAAAAACGTGTGGAAAAGGGCATCCTTCAGTGGATAGATAGACAATGGTTAGAATGATGATGATGATGATGATGTTGCGGCTTGGATCTATCATGTCTGTTAAAATAAAACTTTGCACATTATTCTATAAACATGAGTAAATTTTTAAAAGTGTTCAGGTTGTTTCTTATGCTCTTGAGTATTAATTCCTGTGTGGTAGATTGGCATGAGAACTGAGACAACACTATAGATCAAACAGTTGGCTTTTTGAACATTATGAATTGCATGCAAAAACAGTGAATGACTGATTCAACATGCATTGCTATAGGACAGTGATGGTGAATCTTTTCGACACCAAGTGCCCAAACCAGAACATGGGGGCATATATATCCATGTGTGCATGCTGGAGCGCTGGAAACATAAAGATTAGCCGGCCGGCATGCGCATGCCTGTTTTCTGGGCTGTTTTTTGAGCCATTTTCAAGCCGTTTCCCAGTGCTCCAGCCCCCGCAAAGATCGGCTGGCCAATGCGCCAGAAACCAGAAGAGCAGCTGGTGATGGCGTGGATGCTCACAGAGAGGACTCTGTGCCACACATGCCAGAGGTTTGCCATCACAGCTATAGGAGAAACCATTTTTGCAGCAGCTTTGTGATCACAATAATGCATTTTTAAAATAGAAGTAGAAAAACTAGTGGAGTTGATTGTCCAAATTCTGATTTGCATTGTGATTGCATTTTAAAAAATTTTCCTTTCTTTTTTAGCTTGCCAAAAACCTTTTTTGACAAAATTGAGCAAACAGAAGTAGAAATAATATCTTCAAAAAGTTCAAGTGTTGTCTTACTAGGAAATTATAAAACTGAGGAAGGAAAGAAAGAAGATATGACAAAAGAAATTAGAGAGAGGGACAGCAAAACTTCATTGCCAACCCCAGCTCAGTATGAATTATCTTCAGATCTTGTTCCAAAAGCAGAACTTGTGGCCTGTTCATCAACAGGTAAGATTAGTATTTTTAGATACCATCAAATAACGAAACACACAGCCCCCCCAAAAAACCAAACACATTATCCAAGGTCAATAGAGCAAAGATGACATGAATAATAATACAAGCTTAATTTATCTTGAAGAAATTGTGTAGCTTTTAGGTGTAAGCAAAGCACTTTGACACAAAATCTTTGACTTTTGCAATTGCTTTTGGGGGGAGCAGTTCTTTCTGGGCCAATATGGGAGTAGACAGTTATGTCTCTACTATGAGGTTATCTGGAGGGAATTTTGAAGTAAAAAAACAAGTGTTTAAGTAGTGCCAACAGTAAAGAAGTCATTCTGTACATCACGAACCGACTAGAGTGTAAGATATGAAACTAATAATTGCTGCTTGGAACCTTTGAATTTAGTGCTTATCTAGTATTTCTCTAGTGTGATGTCTGGTGATAAATAACAGGTTGCCTGCCTATTTGTCTCTGAAGTGATCTCCATATCCCACTCCCTTTTTATTTTATTTAGTTTCATTTTAATCCACTATTGTAGAGCAGATTATTGTTTGGCTAAATAATAGTGAGAAAGAGAAGGATTTCCTTATCCTTTTCACTGTTTTTCAGGCCAACCCTTATTTGAGTTTAAAAGCCTGCCTCCTCCCCTGAATCAATACGTGAAGCAGTCCTCAAGTGGCAGTAACAGCATAGTCCAAAATCATTAGTTAATGGTACTCCATAAGCATCACTCATTGAGATGGAAGGTGACAGATTTTGCTACCTTCTCTCTTTGATTGGTTTTGACTCCAGTTCTTTCATGAAGTATTTTCAGCAGTATCATGGTTGCAGGACAGAAAGAGTTAGGTGTTCTGCATGGTGTTTAAACAGGCTGGGTTTCTTATTTCTTCCACATTTCTTCCCTGGTGTTTGTGCTTAGGCAGGCTCAGGACTTTTCATGTCAAAAGGCTGAATATGACTGACATGACAGATCAGGTGTGCATGGGTATGAACTAACAGTAGACCCAGAATATGAGTCAATCCGGAGTAATTTATTAGCATCCTAGTTAGTGCTAACATGATCACCAGTGCTTTCACAGACACATGCTGTAGTTAACTAATTGTTAGCAGTGAATGTGAAGAAGCAGGAGAAGGTTAAGCCTGCAAATAAAGCTCAACCTACTTCAACAGTGGATCTCTTGGAATGTCTCCATAAATGAGCATCCACACCTGGGCAAAGTAAGTAAATATTGAAATGAATAATGAAAATGCTGGGTTGCAAGAATAGAATAGTTCTGTATAGAAATAGTAGTGTCATTTCTGCAAAGATGACATTGTATTTATTGTCATAGTTTGCCATGGGTACTGTTCTTTCCACCTATCTATTCAAATTGCATTTAATCTCAAACCAGAATTTCATGCTCAGGTCCTTCTAAATTTGATCCAATGTTGATTTACATGGAAAGAATCTTAAATCAATGTTTTTTCAGTTTATTCCTTGTGCTATTCACAATTAATATATCTATTTTGGTAGTAAATCACATGTGCTTAAGTATAACCTTGTGTTTTGTAGACTACTTGGAGAACAATGCTTTAGCTACTCCTCAGTTATCACATTCCGAATCTGTACAGAAGGCAGAACCACAAGAAAAAACCCATCAAAGGTCAAGTATCTAGAACAAAAAATAAGTCTAATATTTTAATCTGAATTATTTTTCTCCTTAATTAGAATTAAATATGGATTAGTAATATTTAATTAATATTATCAGAAAATTAAATTACCTATAGCATTATACATAGTTTTTGCATAATGACTACAACTGAAAGTGGCAACTGTCACTAAGCAATTTAATTGCTAAGTGAAATATTATGACTGTGATCGACTTATAATGTCATTTCCCATTCAGTTAAGTGAAACAACAAGTTGTTAAGACATCATATGACTGCAACTTGTGATTTTACTGCTGGCTTCTTCATTGACTTTGCTTTCCAGAAGTTGGTTTTGAAGTGCATAAATATTGATTATAATGCAGTATTTGTAAACACCCACTGGTTGAAAAGTGCCCACAAACTGATCATGTGACTGAGGATGCTGCAATAGTTGTAAATGGGAGAACTGGTTGTAAAATTACTTTTTCAGCACTGTCATAAAAGGTTAGTTGTTGTTTAATTGTTAAACAGAGTAATTGCTAGGCAATTAATATAATATGAACAATGCAAGATAGTGTAAATTATCACAGAATGTGTGCAATAATTGGGGTGGCATAAACAAGCAAAAAATGCCCAATTTTTCATCAAAAAAAGAGCTTGGATAGTCTTATGGAGGCTTATAGAGTGCTCCTGGGGGCTGGGGGAAATTGAGCAAAAAATGGCCCATTTTTTGCTCATTTCTGCCCTCCCCAGTCTCCAGGAGCTCTCTGAAAGTCTCCATAAGGCTATGCACAGCCATTTTGGTGAATGGGGTGGGGCTTCAGGAGGTTAAAAATGCTGTATTCAGTGTATAAGATGCACCCAGATTTTCAGCTTCTTTTTTGAGGGAAAAAAGTGAGTCTTATACTCTGAAAAATATAGTACTATAATACATATTGCTGCCTCCTTAGATGGTAGGAAAAATTGCCTTTCCAAAATGGACCACACATTTCCATTCGTTGACAACTGGAAAAATTTCCAGTTTCTTAATATTACTTTTGTCACTTCTAATATTTAGTACAACCTTGATTAAATATATTATGGTATATCTTTATTAGTCGTAGACCAGCATAAGGTGTAGCATAAAACCTCACGATTTAAGCCACAGAACTTGAATACTTTAAAATATTAAAAGCATTAAAATATTTTTAAAATATTAAAATAATTTAGATAAGATTTGGGAATTCTGACTTCAGGATTCTGGTTAAGATAATTTTCATAATTTGATGTTAAGGCTTGGAATAACTAAACCTTTATAATATATCAGTAGTTATAAAATGAATGTTAATATTTCAGGTAGTTGTCACCTAACCACCACCATTAAGCCAGGAATTTTGGTTGTAAGTTGCTACAATCATTAAGACTTGATCATTTTTATGACATTCATAAAGAGAGTCACCATGGTTGTTAAGCAAACCACATGGTTCAAATCATTTTCTTAAATGGGCATTTTTTTGTTTGAAACCAGCAAAAAACATCAGAAACCAGAAAAATGTTGCATATCGCAGTCATGTTACTGTGGGACAGTGCAGCCAGTCATAAATATGAGCTGGTTGCCAAATATCTGAATGCAATATATGATTGCAAGAGGTGTTGCGGAAGCCGAAACATCAAGAACAAGTCATAAGTAACTTATAGGGGTCTGTTTTAACTTCAAATGGCCATTAAATGACTCGTCATTAAGCAAAGACTACTTGTATTGTATTTTAAGATGGCTTTATGTTGGCTTAATCTTTACTTATTCTCAGTTTGAATAGTTCATTTATGACAGTATTTCGAGATGGGTATTAATTATTGCCTTAACATTTCAGAAGAGAAAATACTGCAGAGGCCTTACCAGAGGGATTTTTTGATGATCCAGAAGTGGATGCAAAGGCAAGTATTTAATTGTTTCAGCTCATATGAGTTCTTTGGCATGTGACACATTTTGTGTTTTACCTACATCATAACTTACATTATTGCTGTAGCAATAAATAAAATCACCATCTTATTTATTGGAATAAGAATACCATCAAACCCCTTTCAGGTCATAGAGCAAAAGGCAGGATATATATCAAGAAAACAAATATATGAATGATCCAAGGACTTCTAGTTGCTGTAATTAAATAGGTCCCTAAAAATATTGATATGCTTCTTGGTGACTTGAGTGATACTATAAAATGTAACTGATATTTTAATATTATTGTTATAGTAAAACCTGCATGGTTCTTTCTAGATCTAATCTTCCATAAGGTGATGTTGAATGCCTTTTCTGATGTATTGAAATCTCAACAATTTGAATGGAATGAGTAACTATACATTTGTGGAAAACGGAAGTGCTATGGACATAATTTATTTAGAATACAATAAGATATTTGACAAAGTAAACTGCAGCCTATTTCTTAGTAAATTAGAACAATATGATATAGAGCAGTGATGGTGAACCTTTTGTGGCTCGCGTGCCAAAAGCGGGGGGAGCGCGTGGGGGAGTCGTACGTGGGCGTGCCACACCCATAATGCTATGCGCACAACCCCAGCGTGCATGTGCATGACCAGCGCTCCCCCCCCCCATTTTTGGTGTACTTTTTTCACCCTCCCCAGGCTTCAGAGGTTTTATAGGAGCCTGGGGAGGACGAAAACAGTCTCCTCCCTGGAGGCCCTCCGGAGGCTTCAGGAAACTCCTGAAGCCTCTGGAGGGCCTCGGGGGATGGCGGGGGAGGCTGTGGTGGTATACTCTATATCCGTGATGGCGAACCTATAGCACACAGAGCCATTTGTCTGGGCACGTGAGGCGTTGCCCTGTCGGTTGCCTTTTGAGGCCATTTTTCACCCTCTGGAGGCTGCAGGAACTTCCTTAAAGCCTCCAGAACAGACTTACGGTTTGCTCGTAGGGCCTGTTTTAGCCTTCAGGAGCCTTCAGGAGGCTTCTCTGAAGGCTCTGGAGGGCAAAAAATGACTCTACGAGCAACCCAGAAGTGACTTTCATTTTGCTCGTAGGGTCATTTTTTGCCCTCCGGAACCTTCAGGGAAGCCTCCTGAAAGCTGTGGAGGGCTAAAACAGGCCCTACAAGCAAACTGGAAGTCCGTTCCTGAATTTCCAGTTTGCCCGTAAGGCTGGTTTTTTGCACTCCAGAGGCTTTAGTGAAGCTCCTGCTGCCTCCGGAGGGTGAAATATGGCCTCTAAAGAAAGCCGACAGGGCAATGCCTCGTGTGCCTGGACAAATGGCTCTGTGTGACATAGGTTCACCATCACGGATATAGAATATACCACCACCAGATGAATTTGAAACTGGCTGACCAACTGCACCCAACAGGTAGTCTGCAATGGAACTACATCTACATGGAGAGAAGTAAACAATGGAGTTCCTCAAAGTTCTATCTCTTCAAGTACTCTTCAAGTACTCTTCAAGTACTCTTCAACATTTTCATAAATGATCTAGATGAGGGGATAGAATGGGTACTCATCAAATTTGCAGTCCAAGCTGATTAGAATAGCCAACACTGTAGATGATAGACTCACGATTCAGAAGGACCTTGACAGACGTGAACACTGGGCCCTAGCCAACGAAGTGCAGTTCATGTGAAAAAAGTATAGTCCTACACATAGGCAAATACACAGCTATAAAACAGATGGTATCTGACTCAAGAGCGGTAACTTTGAAAAGCATATATTGTTCTAGTAGATCACCACTAAGCGTGATCTAGCAATGAATTGCAGCTGCCAAAAATGTTTATACAGTCTTAGGTTCATTAGCAGATAAAAAGTTTCAAAATTGTGTGAAATGATAGCTTTGCTTTATGCTGCACTGGTGGGGGAACCATACTTGGAATATTATGTCTAGTTCTGATGACCACAATAGAGGAAACCTGCTGAGACCATAGAAACAGTGCAGAGAAGAGCAACAAAGATGATAAGGCGTCTGGAGGCTAAACCCTATGATGAATGGCTGCAGGAACTACATATGTCTAGTATAATGAGGAAAAGGACTAGGGATAATATAATAGCAATATTCTAGTACTTGAGGTACTGTCATAGAGACGAGGGGATCAGCCTGTTCTCCAAAGGACCTGAGGGCAGGATACAAAATAATAGGAAGTGGTTATTAAAGAGAGATCCAACCTAGAACTAATGAGAAATTTTCTGACAATGAGAACAATCAATGGAATGAAGTTGTGAGAGCTCCATTACTGGAGGTTTTCAAGAAGAGACTAGAGAGATATTGTCCAGAATAGTATTGGATCTCCTTCCATAGACTTAGTCTAGAACATGGGCCTGCAACCTTAAACCCTCAAAGAGCCATTTGGACCAGTTTCCCACAGAAAAAAAAAACACAGGGAGCCATAAAACCTGGGTGAGTGTGGCCCAACTTGACGTCATTCACTCCCACCCAGTCACATGACACACCCCAAGCCATTGCAACCCAGCTGGTCATTAAGGCAGAGAACTGCCTTAATGACCAGCTGGTTGTTAAATTATTTGCAATGCCCAGCCCTGCCTCACCCCTCCCCTCCAAGCCACCTCTTGTCATGCCCAGCCTTGCCTCAAAGGCCTCAACATATTTATAGTTCTGTAAAAATATTGTTCACCTCTCTCTCCCTCCCTCTATTTCCATCTCTACCTCTTTGTCTCTTTCACTCCCTCTCTCTCTTTCTGTCTACCTATTCTCTGTGTTTCTCGTCTCTCTCTTTCTATGTCGCTCTCTTTTCCTCCCTCTTCCCCCTCTCTCTTCCCACCCGAACTGGTGCTGGGTAGTGGAAATCTGAAGCCTGGAGCCCGACGAGCCCAGGAGCAGTGCGCTGAAACTCAGCTGGGAGGCACGGAATCCAAACACAGGCAGCTCTGCTGGAAAAGCAACTGACATTTTTTGCCGAGCTGAGATGGCGCAGGGTTATATTGTGTCTCTGCATTGTAATGGGCTTCAGGAGGAGGAGATTCCATCTCCCCCATTGTGAAACACCTGGGTGAAAAAGTTCACTCAATCAATTCCAACTTTGCAAGATCTTTTTCTTTTGCGAGAAGTTGGAATTGATTAAATGAATTTTTTTTAGTCTCACAAACATTTGTTTCCCTGCCAACGACAGCGGGAACCATGACAGAAAAACCTGATGAAGCTGGGCTGCGGCAAAGGCACGAGTGCCCACAGAGAGGGCTCTGCATGCCACCTCTGGCATGTGTGCCATTGGTTCGCCACCACAGCCTTAGGCTATATTGCAGTAATGATAGATAAATGCAATAAATTATCCACAAACTGTTATTTATTATACAAAAATAAACTGATCACATTACAATATTTACATTACTAATAAAAATACAATTTCTTCTGCTTAGCATACAAAACCTAATTCCATTACTTTCTTCTCTGTTTATTAATCTTAATGTGCTATTTACATGCTATTCTTCCTTTCAGTCAATCAACCAATTATACAAAATTTAATCACATCTTGCAAATATACAATTTACTGATATTTTAAATGGATGCATAATAAGGCAAAGATTTTGCCCATCAATTTTTTGTGATACCAGAATGCTGACGTATCACGTAATCTATATTGCTTGATATTTAAAGTAAGCAAGCAAGAAACCTACTAGAGATTAGTTTTTATGTTAACATTTTGAACACCTAGCCTGTCTTCCTAATATGCTCCTTACTAAACACACTTTTCTTTGCCATGAGGCAGATTTGCTATATATGATCTTAAGTGAGATTACCCCCCGTAGCTGTGAATTATTGAGTTGAACTTGATAACCAGACTCTCCGTTGCCTGTAACATCTCATAGATTTGAAACAAAATGTATTTTTAGTTGTTGATAAGAATTAGGAAAATAAGGAAGAAAAATGTGTGTTTGTGTACATGATATATTTGAATGTGTGTGTTTGTGTATGTGTGTACATGATATATGTGTGTACATGATATATAGTGCAGTGTGTGTGTGTATTGAGTGTGCATCTTTGGTTGTAATAAAATTGTCAGTATTATTGGCTTTTTCAGTTGTCCTATATTCTGCCTATTAAATTTTTGTGTGTTGGATACTTATTAAAAACTTGTGTATTTCTGGAAATAAATTTGTCTTTGGTGCTCATTTCCACTTTCCCCATTTTTTTGCTGGCCACACAACATAGTAAAATTGACCTCTGGACTTCCTGCATGCAAAAAAAGTAAGTCTGCCACTGAAGTGAAAAAAAAAAAAGCATTCTCAGTGAAACTTAATTCATAGAGGAAAAGAGTTAGGATAATCATTATTGAACAAATTTGAGGAAGAAGGAAAATCTATCACTGAAAAAGTACATGTGACAAAGATAATAATGCTTGTTGAATTTTAATTTTGCCTTGTATGTGTATGTGTGTTCTAGGTGCGCAAGGTTGACACTCCAAAGGATCAGATGGATAAAGAATGGGATGAATTCCAGAAAGCTATGAGACAGATCAATACAGTAAGCTAGTATTCCGTTTTGAAATTAATGCTTATACAAAAATGAAACTTGGCAGAAGTGATCTTATCTGGCAGTCTCAATGCAGTTTACATGGTAGATGAGTGGACAAGCAGGAATTTTTATTTTATTTTTTGGGGGGGAATTGGAAGGGTTGTCTCATATACAATAGCCATCATACAGAGGAATTCTGATTTCTTTTCTGATGGCTCTAAATCCAGATCAAACATTCCTTTATAAAGATGTTAAATTAGTCGAATTCTTTGAACTTAATAATAATATACCATGTTACCCAAATGGTTTTCAATTGATACATTGCTTTTATCTCTTTTATAGTGTCCATGTCAACAGGAAATTCTGAAACATATTGACTTTTTAAAGTATTTTCTCACTGTTACTTGGGACATTTCTCTTCCCTTTGTTGGCAGGGGGGGGATACAGTCCCTGATTTCTTTTTGCTTAATTCTTTCAAGAGTTAAGACTCAGGAGGGAAGATTTTGCTGCCAGGGGAAATTTATATGGACTGGCAATTCCAGAGTTTTAATTATAGTGAAAAGAAAGGAAACTTTACATTGTTGTATTTTTCTATATTTCATGAAAGTCAGAGAAATTCCCCCAGAAATTGAGCCTAAAATTGTTATATTTTTTAAAAATTCTGAATTAGATTTCAGAAGCAATAGTAGCTGAAGAAGATGAAGAAGGACGACTTGACCGTCAAATTGGAGAAATTGATGAACAAATGTATGTAGCTCAAATTTTGTCTTCAAGTGCTATTTATGAACAGAATTTCTCAAAAACTACTTAAATAATTTCTTTATATTTCTTTGGTAAGACTGTACTTGAAATCATGCAGCCAGTTTTAGTCAATGCAAGATGAAAAAGATGTTGAGACTCTAGAGTGCAGAGAAGAGCAACAAAGATAATTAGGTGGTTGGAGCCTAAACCATGATGAATGGTTTCAGGAATTTGTTATGTTTAGTCTAATGAAAAGAAGGACTAGGGGAGATATGAAAGCAGTCTTCCATTTGAAGGATTATCACAGAAAAGAGAGGGATCAACCTATTCTCCAAAGCAAGACAAAAGCAACTGATGGAAATTTATTAAGTAAAGATCCAACCTAGAACTAGTGAGAAAATTCCTAAATGGGAGTACAGTTAATCAATGGTACAGTTTGCATCCAGAAGTTGTATGTGCTCCATCACTTGAGATTTTTAATTTATTTATTAAATGCTTGTTGGGGCCCAATGTAGCACTGAGGTCCCCTCCCATTTATCTCTATATGTTTCCCTATCCAGACTTCAATTATACATAGTCCACCTTTTCTCAACTCCTTTGGTTTTGGACTTAATTGATGTTCAGTAATTGAGTGTATAACGTGAATTAAACCTTCTCATTCTATCTGACTTTGACATTGGTAACATGTCATATGCATAAAGCAGAATGTTTACAAGTTTGTTTTTAACTTTTAACATATGCATATTGGTTGTGAATTTAATTATCAAAGTTTGTTCTAAATTTTCCCATTTATCAGGGAAATAATACATATATATTTGTGGAGGTATATTTAACATCACAGTTAGAGGCCTTAAACTGGAATACTGTATGTATAACAGCTAGAAAAAGTGAAGAGGCACCTATGATCATTTCTGTTCTCTATTCATTTGAGTTCTTCCTTGATCAATATGGCCAAATCCCCAATTGCCTGGCCTTTTTCTTCTACATTCCATATTAGTTTGACCCAGGACTTAAAATCAGATATTGAAATCTGTTTACATCCAGCTGTAACCAGGTGTCTTTTATTGCAATTGGAAAGAAATTCAGATAGATTACATAGAAATAGGGAGCAACATATTGTAATAGTGTATTTGGGCTTTTTTGACTGCAGTTCAAGAGAAAATTCCAAACTAAATTTTAATTGTTTTCAAATAATTAAAGGAGCAATATAGAAATCCCTGTCTTTTATTCAAACTAGAACAGAGAGAAGGCACTCACAGACTGCATGGATGCAACTGTTAGACAACTAATTTTGTGAAAAATTATATTTTAGAAACAAAACATGTAGAATAAAGGTGGTTTTTTTTTTACATTTTCAGCACATTGCTTATGCCACATTGATACTTTTTATCTGCTGTATTTCTTAGCCAATCTGTATTTCTGTAATGAAAATGTAGTTTAAATCCAAGCCAGAAAAAAATAGTAATTAACTGGCTCCACTGCAATTATATCAGGGTTTTAATAAAATGTTCTTTACATGAAGTTGCATTCCATGAATGCGTAAGGTTTATGTTTTTACCTTTTCACTTAATCAGAAAAAGAGGGCAAATTATTTAATTTGTTTTACCTTAGAGAATGTTTCCGTCGTGTTGAACAACTGCGGGACCGCCAGGAAATAAGAAAAGATCAATTAAAGGAAGCCATGAGTCAAACAGTCACACAGAGTAAAGAAGATGATGATATTGATAGTAATGATGAAGATGAACTGCAGGACTTGCTGTCTCAAGACTGGAGAGCAAAAGGAACAATATTGTAACTGCCTGAGAAGAGGATTAAATTTTCGAATTGTGACATTGTTGTTTTATTGTGTACTAACTTTTCTTACATACATGTATGTATATATATTAAGTCTTGTAGGTATTAAAACTATCTGTTGAATGTCATAAAATATTTTTAAAAAAACTATTATAGCTGTTAAGGAAAACCTTTTATTCAAGCCACTACTGTGCTAGCAGTAGCTTTTAAATATGCATTGAAATGTGTTATTCAGACAGATGAATATAAAAACAAGCTTTTACCAGTTAGAACTGTTTTGTAATCTTAAATAGAAACCTGTTTACTTTTATTTCCTGCACTTAACATATGCCACAGTTGTTACCTCCATACTACATTGGAAACTTAATGTTAACTTGTGTTTCCTCAGATTCATAAATTAGCTATTAATCATCTTTTATAATTCTAAATCTATTGCTTCAAAGAAATCAGAGTTTTCAAATTGACTGAAATTTATTAGTGCATTTTGTAACTTGTATTGAATAATTGTTTATTTGATACAGACATTCATTAGCAAATGTCAGTGAATACTTACCAATGTATAATCCTGGGGAAGGATGCCCCATTAAATTGAAAATCATGAGTTTTACAATAAAATCTATTATTTTCACATGATGATAGATTCCTTCTTTCCTCCTGCATGATGTCATGAGCACACTCCTAAAGATTATTGAATAATGCTCAGTAGGAAAAGAAGAGACTTAATGCTTTTAAAAACATCTCTATATTATATTGAGCCAATACTAGGAATGAAAATTTGGGACTGGATTAAACTGGCAGTAAATGAATGTTTACTGAATAAATTAGTTTCAGAAACAATTTGATAATATGCTCCCTAATCTAAAACCTCTTAAGTTCTACTTCTTTCATTATCATCACATTCATTCATTTTGTCACATAATACATGGGATTCTTTCTACAATCCTCTTTAAGAAACAGTAAATTTATACATATAAAGCTTCATTATTCATTAAAAACTAATAATTTATAATATTTGCTGCCTGTATAGAAGAAATTAAGCTTAAAGGTTTTAATTTAATTTCCATATTAATTAATGAAATAGGGATGATATCGCACAATCATAACCAGGTTTTGGTATAACTAATATATGCTTCATTAAATTAAAATGATAAAATACCTCTTTCAGAAATGTCAACTATGTAGCTGATAAACCTTAGAAGTAAGTATATCAGTGTTATGCCATTCTACAGGAACTCTATCCAGACTTGATGCTTTATCATTACTCTTATTAAGTACTACTTTTTAACTCTTCCATAGTGAATTGTCATTGAAAATACAATTACAGATTTAAAAAGTTTTATCCATCAAATAAAATTTTAAGTTTTATCCAAAATTTGAGTAATTTCTTTTTTAAAAATAGAAATTTTAAGAGAACTGTATAGCTTGTTTCAATCTTTAATGGTTCTAACAGTCTTTTTTTATTTTTCTGCAAACAATTTGACAAGCTGCTTGCTCAGATTTTCACCATTTGATCCGTATTTTGAATACAGAATTTACTGTGATATTAAACTCATTTGTTGTCTCTCTACATTGTATATGGATTGGTGATAAAAAATCTGGTCATTACCCAACATTTTCAATTTATCAGATTCATCTAATGCATACTTTAAAATGTCTTTTTATATGATTTGTATGCAATAATTGGAAAACATAATTACATAACATTCCCACTCAAGATTAAGGAACAAGTTCTGCATTAAATTCAATGTAGTATATTGAACTCATCTACTTTGTTCACTATCAGAGGAGGCAAAATATCTACTTTCAGATAGTTTAGTAAGGAATTGAATTTCTAATCTAAATTAATTGAACTGTGATTTCACAGACATTAATTACGCATATTTAATACATTGAAATAATATTAAGGAACCCCCAGAATTAATCAAATTTTAAAAATTGGAATGGGATGACCCATAACGGGGCTTGGCTGGCTAGGCATGGCTGTCAGCATGAATAACATGGCAAGGATGACTCAATGCAGTCAGGTTGGTGCAAATGAGTAGGCACAATTGGATGAGCACAGCTGATTTGGCATGGAACAGTCATCCCAATCAACCGGATGTGGGGGCAACTTGGTGCCTCACCAGAAGAAATATCAGGCTCTAATGTGCCAGCTGATGGGATGCAGGGGATAACATGATGAGGGGATTCACTATTAGACTATTTGGATCAAGCTGGGACAAAAGAATCACTTCCCCCCCAACCCAGAAGAACCATTGTCCCATTCTGTGCTCAAGGCACAGTGGAGTAGCGGAGCTCATAATTAGGATTGGCTTGCCCCAGCAGGTGCCTTCCTGCCTCCCAACCTGGCAAGCACCCAAACTGCAAGCCATCCACCTTGCTGCTGCCATTCTAGAGATGACTGGGATGTCAGCCAGAGAGCTCCATGAAATAGCTGGTCCTTTGTCTGCAGCTTCTCTTACAAAGAAGGGAGAGAGGGAGCCTTGATGGGTGAGGGAAAAGCATCAGGAGTCTGTGAGAGGCTGGTTGACAGGATTCTAAGAAAAAAAAACCACTGGCCTTCCTTCTGTTGGGCTTAAAGATTTATCATACCTAGTAGGCAACAGCAGTGAAGATGGTCTCACCCCCAGAGGAAAAGTTGCGCCTACCTTAAAACACAGTGTAGACTCTCACAATGACTGTGAGCAGAAGTCCAAAGCAGGTAGATTCCTCAAAGAACATGTTTATTGGATAAATCATATTGACACAGCTAATGAAAACCAACTCTAAAAGTTCCTGCAGTTTCCCCCCTAATTAAAAGAGCAAATCTTTCTCTCCCCAAATGTCACTGGCCACATTGTCCAATGAAAGTAGCTGGGAGGCTGCTTGTCACTCCTCTGTCATTTGCCACCTGTTGTGATGATCTTGGTTCCCACAAGAAACTTTGTTTTGACTGGCAGCTGGTTTACGTTCGTGGCAACTATGAGGCAGGAAAAGATAGCTCCAGTGAGGTTCACTTCAGAGTTGACAGTCTATAGATATTCTCAGACATCCAGGTCATGGTTGTCCAAAGATGATTTTACAAGAGGCAACAGAACTTTCTGCTTTTTCTTTGAAGATATTTCGCTTCTCATCCATGAAGCTTCTTCAGCTCTGAAGTTTGCAGGAAGCAGTTTCCTCCAAGTCCAACTTCTGCCTTGATAGATCTCTGGAGAGAAGGAAGGAGTGGCAGGGGAGTTGTGTGAAGAAAGACTGCCCCAATCCTTACCATGCACAATTGGAAACAGGGATTCCCTTTTGAGAAGGGCCAGTCTCCTTTATGCAGGACCTGGGAGCACTGCTCCCCTGTCTCCTCTTGCGCTCCAGAGATCTGTCAAGGCTGAAGTTAGGCTCAGAGCAAACTGCTTCCTGCAAACTTTCTCCTCTGCACTTCCACACAGAGCAGCATCGTCCTCCTGCTTTACTGGGAAAGGGCACTGGACAGGGAAAATGCCAATGACATCTGCAATTGGGAGAAGAACATCTCCTTCAGGAGGTTTCAGGAGGCTTCCCTGAAGCCTCTAGAGGGTGAAAAACAACCCAAGGTGCAAACCAGAAGTCCGTTCCCGAACTTCCAGTTTGCACAATGGGCGGTTTTTCGCCCTCTGGAAGCTTCAGAAGGCTTCCCTGAAGCCTCCGGAGTGTGAAAAACAGCCGAAAATCATGGCTGAAATCTACTGGCCAGCGTGCACATGCACGATGGAGCTGACAGGGCAATGCCTCGTGTGCCCTCAGGAATGGCTCCGCGTGCCACCTGTGGCACGCATGCCATAAGTACGCCATCACGGTGGTAGAGGGTACTGAAGTTGCAGGAACTTTAGGGGAGAGTGAAATGCCATATTACAATTCTATATAAAACAGACACAAGCAACAGAACATAACCAAACCAATGTTTTAGACTTTAAAAGAGCTAATTTTAACAAACTCATAGAGCTTGGGAAAGATCCCATGGATGAAAATATTAAAGGGCAAACCAACTCACAAAGCATGAGAAACTCTGTAAAATATTATTCTAAAAACACCACAGAAAAAGAAAACTAAGAAAATCAAGAATAAGACAGCATGGTTGCACAAAGTGCTCTCAAACCAACTGAGAGGAAAAAAATAACAAGTTCAAAAAATGGGAAAAGAGACATATAACTAAGGCAGAATACCAACAAATCACTCAAACTTGCAAAGATGAAGTTTTGGCTTTGAATGAAGTAATACTTGCAACAAATGTTAAAAACAAGAAAAATGTTTCTTTCAATACATAAAAACAAGAAAAAAATCAAAGAAACTATTGGTCCACTAATGGGAGAAGATGGCAAAGAAGTAACAGGAAGTTGAGAGAAAGCAGAACTGCTTAATTCATACTTCACATCTGTCTTCATGCAAAGAAGAAAACACTGCTCAATTTACCAAAAACAGAATTATAAATGACATGTTAAGAATGCAAATTAAAACATGTAAAAATAAAGTAAGAGAATACTTGTCAACTCTAGATGGGTCCAAATCACTGAGTTCTGAAGGAACTGATTTCAGAACAATTGAAACATATTATCTAAAATTATTGGATCACCAGGGAATTGCCTAAGGGCTTGAAAAGAGCTAATATGGTCCCCATTTTCAAAAAAGGAAATAAAAAACATATCCAGGAAATTACAAACCAATCAGCCTGACATTGATACCTGGGAAATCTTGGAAAATAAAACACTATGTAACACAAATGTTGTTCCTAAGTGTTCTTTCTAGTGTTATATTCTTCTAAGTGTTATATTTCAACTGCTTATGTGTAAAGTCTGTATAAAAACGGGTAAATTCATCACAAACTGATTTTGTGAAAATAACCTACAACCAGGGGTGGGATTCAGGTTTGCGCAGGTTTGGGCGAACCAGTTGTTACTATTCTGCACAGTTCGGAGAACTGGCAAATTGCACCACCAGATGCCCTCCCCCCCCAGCCCAACTCTGCCCCACCCAGTCATTCTTCATCTCGCCAGCTCACCCGCCATTGCTAACCTGCTTTCGCCCACCATTGCTGCCTGTCTACCTTCTTCCAACATTGCTGTCTGCTTTCCGCCACAGCCCTGATCTCCTTAGGTGAATGACAGCCTGCAGGCTCCGGTCGAGTTGACTCCTGGGCCGGCCTGGGGCCACAAGCCCCAATTGAGTCAACTCCAGGGCTGGTCTACCCAGCCTACCTGCCACCACCATGGAAAGCCTGGCCTAGCTAGCTAGGTGACCCCCTCTTCTGAGTCGACTCCCAGGCAGGCCAGCCTACCTGCTGCCACCACCACCACAGAAAGCCCCAGTTGAAAGACTCCCGGACCAACCGGCCTACATGCAGCCGCCTCCTCTTTTTTTCGGTGCTGCTGCTGCCGGCTCAGTTCTGGCTGGGAAAGAGCAGCTCTCACTGGCAAAGAGGCGGCAGCTTCAGCCGCTTTCTGATGTTTTCTGGGCTCAAAAACATCCCCAAAATGGCTAAAAATGGCCTGAAAAATGGCAGATGGAAATGGCCTGTTTTCTGCCTCCATTCAGCTGTCTGCACCAAGCTGGATCACAATGATGGGGGGGGGGGAGGAATAAAGCCCGAGTCATATTGTACATACTCACCAACACGACGAAGAACCTCT